ATGTATGGATGGGTATAGCCTTCAAGGTATTTGGTGATTGATTTGGTAAGGATATGCACATCTCCCTCGTCTACCTACTAGGTAATTAATTCCAATCAATCTATCATTCACATCAATCAAATCAAATCAAACTCAATGCGAAAATCAAGCAAAATACTGCACGGAAAAACATGTAACACGCACGCATCGCATCGGATAACAAGCATAAAAGGTAAGGTAAGTTGCATGAACAGATTTGATGGAGATGGATGATAGGTAAAATCGGATTAGGATCTAAAGACCGAAAGCTCGTGCTGCAGGTGTACCATGAAGATTTACCTAGGTAGGGAGGTAGCTGGTTAGCTGGCTCGGTTGGACAGCTAGAGTCTTGGTATCTGGTAGATGAATGCCGGGGTCTTTTATTTTCTCCTGGGGTGACTAGGGTTTACGTATGTCCTCGAGGCGTCGCTATCTCTTTAATGCATCACGTCATTGGAAGCTGGATGGATGTGATGGAAGATCTATTGGGATGTAGACAATTGAATTGAGTTGTAGTAGATGGATATTTGGTAGATCTTGAGTTATATAGGGGTATCGAGTGGGTATGACACGATATGAGAGAATTGTACCAAAGGGGATATAAGAGGAGATGTGAGTGAAGCATGAATATAAGAGATGTGAATAAAGTATGAATAAAGTATGAATACAATATCGAATATGAAAATCTCCATAGGAATTGGAATACCTACCAGCTCGTCGTATGCTCCACACTCCTCTACACCAAAATACCTGGGTAGTACGAAGATGGCGATTATCATATCCCATACCGATGAAAAGATTGGTGGTCAACACATACATGGATGGGTATGTACTCTACAACCTCGCTAGTAAAAAGCGACAATCGATTCCGACATCCGACTTGGAAATTCTTGATTCGCAGTCCAAGCCAAAAGTGTGGATTCTTTAATTTCTCAGTCTCTTGGTATCTCTCGAGTCTTGCACCAAGCGGTACCTCTCATCCACTCACTCATCTCAGTATTGGAAGATTCTTTGGAACGTTTCACTTTCTTCTTTATTTTTCCTCTTGAAACTTAGTCCATGATAGCATCGCGCTTGGATATTGTAGTTTGAATTCTAATTCGAGTCTAATTCTAGTGTAATTCTAATTCTAATTCTAGACAACACGTTACCCTTCCGAAACATTAATTCATGCATTACGTAACCCTGGCTCAACTATCTGACTACATGTCGACTCAAAATACGAGTACCGATGCTGGATCCTTTGAGTTTCTCAGATTCGAATTCGAGATCTAGATAATCATGATGATGAATTTAATCAGGGTGCGATCTAACGAAGGGAAGATTCTCTTCCGGGCCCGAACTAAAAGAAACGATGAAAAAGAAGAGATACGGTAGGGGACGTACGAGCCGTCCGCTGTCAAACGTGATTAAAGTAGGGGAGTGCAGGATACTATACTTGAAGGGGGGTTAGTGTCCAGAATATCCTCCACTTTTATTTCTTATGATTGAAGTTTGTTTTTAGTTTTGGTGTCACGTGGGAGAGTGAGGGTGAGAGTGAGAGTGAGAGTGAGAGTGAGAGTGAGTGTGAGTGTGTAATATGTATATGTGTAATACGTATATGTGTGGGGTTAATCATTAGGGTTGAAATGTAGTACATAAATACATTTGTGTTGATGTACAAAGTATAGATTATATTTTCCACTTCATCTCATACCTCCCTCTCTCCCTTCCCATCCATCAATCGATCAATCAATCAACCCCAACTCCCGTTCATCCCAAATCCCAACCTCAAACCTCTCTCCAAACCATAAACCCCTATCCAAATACCAAGAACCATTCCCATACAACCAAGACCCTGCTCCTTGTGCATAATTCGAGAAACCCTATTCCATCCATCCACACATCCATCCACCACTCACACACAATTTACAAACTCTGTAATAACTTCATCTACCCATGTTACGTAACACAGCAATCAAACCCCTGAATTCTTTCTTGATCCTCGTAAACTGATTTATCCACATTACCCCACATGCATTTTACATTTTACGATACACGATTGTTAGTAATATATATCGAAGTAACCTTATCATCAACCTTAACAATAAACTCTGAACCAACTTCTTTCTTCTCAATTCCTTAGTCTCTGCGAAGATTCGAGAATGCATTAATCGTGTATGATCAAGTCGTGTAGTTAGTTATATTTAGACACATATGTCCATATGTCCATGTATACTTCGTACCTAGGTCCTCGTACGTAACTCAAATCTTCAATCTCTCCCTAGGTAAATGCGCATTGTATACCTACCTAGGTATTTTGTACGATGGTAAGTTATATACCTATGTCTTCCAATTACTCACTCACCATATATCCATCTATGTCGTCCCTCTCTTCTACCATCTCCAAACCCAATCTTTCGTACTCGTACGCAATATTCCTGGAAGATCCGTATACACACCGTCGATCCATCGTATCCGCCCAAATAACTAACTTCATTCGCCCTACCAAGCCTTTTAATCTCGTACTCTCGGTCCCGAGAGCTTGAGGTATCTAGGTATCTCGTGATTGATATCCATCAACTATCTATTTAATAAGTACTCGTATATCCCATTATATCCCAATACATTATATCATTATATCATTATATCATTATAAATCCCAACCCTAAAAAACACAAGTAACATAATCTCTTTCACACCTAGGTAATTTTACATTCAATTCAATATATCCGATTTTACTAGTTCTTTTCAATTTCATGATGGGATGATATGAAGACAGGAAGGTTAAAAAGTGCGGAATTAAATGATCTAACCCTGTGTGAGATTCTTGTTTGTCTGTATATACCTACCTCCTTATCGATTCTATTTTATCTCATTTCATTTCATCTTACTTCTTTCTTTTCCTTCTCGGTCTTTTGATCGATATGAAGCTTATCCCCTACCTACTTACCGACCTATCTACCTACTCATCCATCAACAAAATATATATAAATACCTAGCCAGTATAAGCAAGCAAGTAAGCCCAGGACGCGCAATCATATGCAATACACTCACTCGCTCACTCGTTCTGTTCATTCAGCTGGTGCTTTTTATCCGGTTAATGAGGGAGTGGGAGGGGTACCTGCATAAATGACGGGTTGATTTGATCTAATTTGGTATGGTTCGGTTTGGGATGAGAGAGTAGGATGAGTACATCCGGGAGGTGGGAGGTAGGTAGATGTAGGATTGGAGGAGTGTGTGGGGAGTGTGGGGAAGAGTAGGTATTTTTTTTTTTTCCGAATCCTAGATTTTTGAATGTGGGAATGGGGTTTTGAAGGTAGGTAAGGGAGTTTGAGTTTGTGATTGATTTGGTTCGGTTCGATTCGATTTCTGTAAGTTTTAATGGGGTGTTGTGATTGGGTCGAAGGGGATAGATGGATGATGATATGGGGAGATGATGAATGGAAGAATGTTATTCGCGAAATGGAAGTGGAATGACGAGGAGAATAATCTTCAGTAGTATCCCCGAATAGCAACATTCCACATAAGTTATTCATACCTCAAATGTCAGATTTTTGACTAAAACAACTTCAACTAGCATGTGTAACACTAAGCGATTTTTCACATGCTAGTTGAGGTGTCAATACATGGAATGTTGCTATATGGGGTTATTGCTGTATAATCTTCATTACGACGATATTGATGAAAAGAAAAAAGGAGGAGAGATGTCACGGGGTACGTTACGAGAGTCACGGGTTCAGGATAAATGTAGAAGTGAAAGTGAGAGGTACACAAAGGTATCTTGATCCAAGAGAATTCTATAGTGTGGTATTGTATTGTATTGAGAGTCTGAGTTAGTGCTTGCTAGAGAGATCCTAATTGTTTCTTTCTTTCTTTCTTTCTTTCTTTCTTTCTTTCTTTCTTTCGACGACGACGATTACTCTATTCTATTGTGGAAAGGAGAAAGGTGAAGAGGGAAGAGGAGAATATTTATCTATGTATAAACCCAGATCTATACCGTTAAACTTAGGTTTCTTTCGATCTTGATAACCATATCGAGTATATGGTTATATCAAAATGGTTGGAGATGAATAAGATAGATGGATAGATGGATAGATAGATAGATAGATATCTTGATGCCATTCAATTCTATGCATTTATCCATATCTCTCCTAACGCGAATTGAACAAATCCTCTTCTCTTCAGGCTTTTCGATTTTACTTTATTATTGTATTCATTTTTGAGATTCTATAGGGATAGATAAGAATGGGAATGAGAATGGAAATGGGAATACTGGGTATGGTGATATTATAGCAACGGGATATCTGGTTGTAGAATGGGGTTTTGTATATAGTTAGGTGTTTGGTATTGTTTTCATCTATGATGGATGTTGTTGAGCAAGTTGGGAGATAGTTAATGGATAGGGATATTTCATTTTGGATTCGCTTGGATTGAGGATTTGGTGAGGTGGTAAAAGGGTGAGATTTGTTGGTGTGCATGGGTTGGTGATGGGATGGTAGTTGGATTTTGGTAAGTGTGGAGTAGGGTGAGTTTTAATGAGATGTGTTTCTCTCTACTGTATAGTTGGGATCTATAGTTTTGTTGTATGATGATTAGGGGGAAGAGTTGCTTTTATTTGATGTGGAATCAGAATTGTTTGGAGGCCGTTCTCAGGGTAAAGGTAAAGGAGAATATTTTGCAGCGTTTTCTTCAGGGTAGTTCTCGATACAAGAGGGGATCTATCATTTATGTAGTCCTATAGATTTACCGGTCATTGTAGACAAGAACAGAGATTAGACTACAAGATGTAGTCTCACGAATACAAGGCACATAGTCCAGCGTTGTAAAAGCATTTCAATCCCTTTCCAATGATCAACCGCATACCCAAATCTCCCCAATCCCGCCTTCCAAACTTAACAATTCCCCGTCTGAATCCCAATCGAATTCGTTCCCGGCGCGCTCAATAACGTGCCCTGCACCCCACACTTCGCATACCCGGTAATTGCCCCATTACACCCCACATGATTCCAATAGTGAATCTGCGCCTGTTCAAGATCATACACGATGATGCAATCAGTCCCCTGCGTCGCGAGACAAAAATTCACATTGTAGCTTCCGCTCCAGGAACTACACGAGGTGCATTGGATATCCGAACAGTAGCGGATGTTGGCGTAGGCGCGGGGGGAAAGATCGTGAGTGCCGGAAGCGATTTGAGCGCGGATTGAGGGGATGCGGTGGGGTTGCGGGGAGAAGATTCCGGGGGAGGTTTGGATGAGGACGGTGAGGTTGGGGAAGAGGGGGGTGGGGCTGGGGGGTTCGTTTTCGGAGGGGATGGTGAGGCCGTTGAGGGGGGAGATGAGAGAGAGGGTTGTGAAAATAAGGGTGAGGAGGGAGAGACTCATGATTTTTTGGTGAAGTCTACTGGTGAATTGTTGAGTTTTCTACGTTTGTTGCGTTGGGGAAGAAGTTGATGACTGTACAAAGATGAAAAAAAAGTAATTTCGATATCTTCATTCTCAATTGACAGGAAAACAGGATCAATTTATAAACTTCCACTCCTCTTCAATTTCACTACACTAGCTATGTATCTAACGCATCGCATCCGAGATGCATACTCCGTGCAACTGAGAAACAAGAAGGATAGATTAAAAAGCATACTTTGATGCGGGGGAATGGGGAGGTAGTCAATGAAAGCGAGAACTACGACGTATGAAGTGGTACTTATGGAATCATGGTTGTAGCAGTACCCGACGGATCCAGTAGTTATCTGGTACAACGGTACATCTGTTGATGTCAAGCACTGGAGACACAACATTGACGACAAGTGGTGGAGACACAACATTAATTGGAATGCAATTGATAGCCAGAATGATTGGTAAATATTCGATGGGATTAAAGTAACCAATTTGAATCGATGGCTAGAGTGAAAATCGTTGTCCTGTAGATCGGATTTATAGACTGATCTAATAATTTGTTGTGCAACTACACGACTTAGAGTGCGATAATGGGTAGTTGTCCCCTTTTTTATATTGCAGACCTAGTCTGTAGGTATTTGTATTTTGGTGCAAGGTATTCGAAGATTGAAACGCGGTATCATTCAGTCCGCGAGAAACTATAACTCTTGGAGCACGTCTTAGAATTGTTTCTCTTTTCGTAGTCCATCCTGCCTCTCAAATTGATGTATGCTACTAGTTTCTACTCATTTCTTAACATCCTAGCATCACAATTTTATCCGTTAATAGTTGAGGTTAGACACAGAGCTTAGAAACTGAGGAATAAAGAGAGGAAAAGAGATAGAAGGCGACGAAGAAGCGATGGGGTCCCTCCCCTGAACATGATAGGCGACAAGGAGCAGGGAGCTTCTAGCAGACAATAAAGAGGTTCTGATTTCGGGAAAGGAGAAGAAAGTGGAGGGCATGAACATTTTACTTGCTGAAAAAATCCATATAGTTCATTGGATCTCTCAAAGAAAATGATTCTTTTGAGTCACTGATTAAAATGATACCAACACTTTCTTGCAGACAGAATTATGAGGAAAACGAGCACTTTAAATTCTCGAATTCAAACACTATACTAATCGGTATACCTCTCCTCAAACCTGCAAAACTCAACTGCTCTACTATTAAAAGCTTCTCGTCTGTATTTAACAGATACAATTTTGATTGCTTTGATCCTGCAAGACCGAGATTGCGCTTTCTATTGAAACGGGCCATAGCTTGTCGTTAAACTTACCATAGAATTGAAGTATATAATTCCGGGTATGTCACCCGTACTAGAAACCATATAAGCAATCCCGCTATGATAGGAAAATAAGGTCTGGATATTTAGTGGAGTGCCAGCTCGTTCACATACGATTTTCCACAATTTCTGAAGCGTCTCTCAGTTTGTTGATAAAAGATGATAGGCAGTTTATCTTTCGCGGTTATGTGACATCTTGCTTGCTAAGACTTCAAGCGTGTTCTAATAACGCGGTCACTTATGGCAATATTTGACTGAGAATTTAGACGGGCTGTCATTTTCAGACAAATACGACTTTGGATGCTCCAGTCGACGTGGTAGAGAGAGAAAGTTGTGACAGTTTCATTAGGTTTACTTGCCCATCTACCAATTTTGGTAACGAATGATGTGAGTTGTGGGTTTAGACAGTACTCACGTCTTGGATTAATGAATCCCCATGAATATTTAAGAGTCCCATGATCTCTGAAAATACTAGCTGAGTAAAGGAGATAGGTCTGAATACAAACTACGAAATAAGTTTTGAGGAGCACGATGAAGATGTAATCTTCGTAAATGCTCACCAACGCCAAATCTTAAATTCGACGGAATTTCTCGTTTTTAGCAAAGTCTTGGAAGGAACTCCACATATAGCAGTGAGTTAAGGAAACAAACACCATAAAGGAGATAATTTCTAACTGCTAGTCGCAGAATGTGTGTTTAACTACCGAGAACTTCAAGACGTCGAAGATATACCGAGAGAAACGACAGCCCCCCTCCATTTTCCAAAAATTGAGACAATATTGGGAACACCCACAGGAATTTCAATGTTACTTATCTTTTGATTTGGGCCCGAGAGATTTGATTACTGTCTATCTAATCTCCCTTTCTTAGACCTCAAAGACGCCCCTGATTTGAAATATTTCCGCAAAATGTTACCTTCGCAAACATAAGTGAAGCCAACACTGACAATTGAGATAAATGCGACATTCGTCATATTACAGAGCCAATAGCCTTCTGACTTGATCAACGCTAAAGAGTTTATCTTAAATGACACCATCAACCAGAGCTAGATTGCCAAACTCCGAAGTTGAATTTTGGTGTGAACTGATCAAGCTCTCCTTTTCGATGTCCTTCAAGGCAGCGAAAAGGGATTATGAGATATACTCTAACAACTGTTGCCGATATTCATTACCTCATTGCGAAGACTTCTCTGGTACAACAGTATGGTATCTGTTAGGAGGCGTAGAAAGCCCGGCTTCAGAGAGGTTTGTACCACTGAGTTGGGAATCAATCAGACCAGAAATGCAGTATCCTGAACACGTATCATTGAATTGTCTGACAAAATTCATTGATATTTGCAGAAGCATCACCGTTAGGCAGAACTACACCACTCATTTGAAACGACAGAGCAAAAGTATTTAAGCGCGGCACCTTCGCTAGAACAATCGAGGACTCAATGTTCGTAGGTTGTAATGCCGGAGCGAAGAGATCCAAACGCGATTGCTGGACCTCGAAAGTACTTGGGATATTGAATATGATCCAAGATATTCAAGACCGTTAAAATATTGGAATTTCTAAGTTAGACTGCAGCCCAGACTATTGAGTGTCCTGATCATCACGATGTGTCTGCAGGTGACGAGATTAATCTCTCACCTTGGGTAACCCTTATTTTTGGGCTGCTGAGCTTTTTTAAGCGGGCGAAACAAACCGACATTATAGAGCAACAATACCTAAAGTGAAGTATTCGTACAATAAAAGAACTCTTGACGGGACAAAGACACTCGGGGCTGCTCCGAGCAGGACGATAGTGCCAATCGCTGTTTAGACAGGAGAAGTTTCCTAAAAAAACAACTTTTTGGTATTTGTTAGTTTTGAATACAATTTTTCTAGCCCACTCATAAGAATCGCCCATGTCGTCTGAATCATTCAAGAATGCCGAGTCGCAAGAAAGTGTCGTAAAGTCTCAGAATAGGCTCCGTAGCCACGTTAATCAGATGGAATACTGTGATAAAAAGGGCTAATATCTTAGTAGTAATGGAATCACCATGACATTCCAGCAAGTGATGATGAGTTTAAAATGGATTTCAACCTGGAAAATTAAGCGTGATGGTTATGATAAACTTGGACGAAGTGGAATAGAGGGGAAGTGATATCATCACGTGATACGGTAAGTATGATCCGTGCACGATGAGTCTTGCCCCACTCAATCCACTTTTGCATGTCACTTCACATGCACGCGTACAAACACACCTACAGAGCACCGACACCAAATATTACCCAGACATTACCCTCTAAGAGCTTCAACAATTTGTAATGGATATCAAGCTTTGATTTATCACTTTGTTCCAAAAAAAGCCGGTATACCGCTTCTTGCATATCCGTACACGATTCACTTTCAAAAGAAATGGCTTCATTCCCCAATCATTTCATTTGATAATAAGGGTGTGACCTACTGTAAGGGGTAAGCGATCTGCAACCCCGTCGGTACTCACTACACCGTGGAAAGATACAATCCGCCAACTGGCTGAATCAAACACAAGCTTTCCTACTTTCATGTACAGAAGAAACCCCCCATACCCCATCCTTCAACCGGCCGCCGGAAGTGTATCCTCATCCGGTAAAACCAAGGGTGTTGAATAACCAAGCCGATATATCACCTTCGCTTCTCCTTCCTATTACATTCAAGCCGATTTGGGACCCGCTTACAATCTATTGTCTCCGAGATGTATTATCCACACGGTACTTCTACAACGTGAAGAATCACCACGTTTTTTCTCGGTCTTGTGTTTCCTCTTGTAGAATGTAGTAGGTAATACATGGGAATACATATCACGAGTGATAAATGCCAATCTTTGACGGCCAATGGAAACGTGCCCAGAGAAGTTTTTCCGATTGGGGATATATCCAAGCGGTTATTCATCATGAATATGGAATCCGGATGATCATGAACTTTGAATAGTGGGCGTCTTAGTCTGTGTTCTTAATTGGTCTCACTAAATCAATCTAGGGTATAGATACCGAAGATTAAAAATGTAGTTATAAGAATCCTCGATATTCTTTCCTGTTGACTGCAGAAATCATTCTTGCATTCGTCGATCATTCTCTTTCTTCTCAATTGCAAGGGATATCCAGACATATTTCATCATGGTTACCTTCTCAAGATCATTACAGCTTTCCCTTTCGGTTTTGGCATCTACAGTCGTTGCTATTCCTACACCATCGCAGCTTGAATCTCGGGCCGTTATCGATTCCGATGCCGTTGTAGGATTTCCCGAAACCGTTCCCAGCGGGACAGTAGGAACAGTTTATGAGGCATATCAACCATATCTTTATGTAGTCAATGGATGCGTACCATTCCCTGCCGTCGATGCATCGGGTAACACAGGGTATGTCCTTACATTTTTATTCACATGATTTCTATTGAGTCTAAAATATTTTAGTGGTGGTTTGGAACCAACTGGCAGTAGCAACGGTGGTTGCAGCAGTAGTACCGGTCAAATATACGTCCGAGGAGCACAAAGCGGATCATACTACGGTATCATGTACTCCTGGTAAGTTCTCTCTAATCACCTCCTTACAGATCCAAACTAATAAAATCTCAGGTACATGCCAAAAGATGAACCCTCAACCGGTATTGGTCACCGTCACGATTGGGAAGGTGTAATCGTCTGGCTTTCCAGCTCAACCGCTACAACTGCCGACAACATCGTAGCCGTCTGTCCTTCTGCCCATGGAGACTGGGATTGTTCTACCGATGGCTATTCCCTTTCTGGTACCAGCCCCCTCATCAAGTACGAGAGTATCTGGCCTATCGATCATTCAATGGGTCTCACTAGCACTGTTGGTGGACAACAACCCATGATTGCTTGGGAATCTTTACCTACTGTTGCTCAAACTGCTCTTGAGACGACTGATTTCGGCTCTGCGAATGTTCCTTTCATTCCATCTGTCTTCGCAAACAATCTTGCGGCTGCTACTTTCTAGACTTTGTGTCTTTACTTATGAATATTGGAGGCTATACTCTGGGAGTATTCTGGCTTTTCTCTGTGTAATGTTTGATGTTTGATGTCTGATTAGTATTTGATCATGGCGTTGGGTTGTACTCACGTCACTTCAATTTAATGAAAAGTTTATTGTTTACACATGATCATCAAGGTGGTTTTATGTGAGTATAGAGCCCAAGGTTGCAGCTAACTCTTAGATTACTACAACGATTTGAAGACATGGTGGCATGTGATGGAAAGGATCACGATTCCCATGTGATCATTCACCAGACAAATACACCTAAACCTTACACCACCCACTCTTCAATATCCCAATTCGAATTCGAAAATCAAGAATCCTTGATGTCCCACTGATATTTAAGCTTAATCAATCCTTCAAGACTCAAGCTTACCTGTATTATCTAGACTTGTCGATTGTTAGCATTTTATTAAGTGCTCAAATTTCTTCGCCTATCACGTGAGTAGCCGCTCATTCTAGAAGCGATACCAATATCTCACATCTCTTCTATGTTACACCTGGTTTCCTATCATTGATTTCACCTTCGCATACCTAGAATCGACCTACGCCAATTATTATCGGCACATCAATAGCCCCATTTATTAGGCGATCTAGATATTCAGATATTCTTCAACATCTAGGATCCACCAGATTAGCAGTGTCTGAAGAAAGATATAAATGAATGAAAGAGAAGAGAGACTGAGTGAAAAGATACATAGGAAACAGACAGATAAGAAGACGTGTTAATCGAGATGGAGAACTGAGAGCAAAGCAAAACGCCATACTGATGCTGGTACAAATCGGAAACGCTCAGTTTTTGATGAGCCATGTTTATCTGCAATATGGCTCCCTCCCAGATAGTACTGTTCCATAGAAGGATGAACCGATTCCATTAAACCAAATAAAACAAGATATGAGACAGGCTCGCCTGAAAAGCATACAAGAAGAGGAAACAGGATTATCAGAACCAAACAAAAGCAAAATGAAACGATACTATAGCCTATCAATCTCGATATCTTGGCAGTCATACATCCTTTCCATTCTTCTGTAGAATCCAGAACCTAAAGCATCCCAACTCAACTCGACTCCCCTCCACAAAAAGCAAGCCCGTCACCTCCATCGAGTCTCCGCGCTCTCCTTGTTCCCCTCGCCACCAGCAGACCCCCTGCTATTAACCGAACTCCAGGGTGCCTCTCTCTTACTTTCAGAGCAAAAATCCCTCAATCTCTGTTCCCTCAGCGCCTCTTCTTTTTTTGCGCTTCTTGACGCATCTTTTTGCTCTTTACGCGATCTAGTTCTTGCATTAGTTTTGTTGACAGAAAATCAGGTGATGAATTGCGTCACAGGAAGTAGTAGGCATTAGAGTCTTGGAAGGAGAGAATGGGAAAGAGAAAGTACATACTCAGCCGCGCTACTATCCATGACCTTTGTGAACCAATTTTTCGAGTAAACACTTCCTGGCATGTTTGAGAGGGTTTGATATCTCAGGGTCCCTGAATAGGAGAGTGAAGACAGAGTGTTGGTATAGATTGATGATCAAAAACCACTCTGTTCTTGCGTGCTGTAAGACAGCAAATTCGGCGGCGGGAAGAGAATATGTGAGGGGTAAGAAAAGAGTAGAAAGTGGAGTTAGAGGCAGGTAGTGAAAACCCGAAGAGATTATGGAGGGAAGGAGAGCACTAAGAGAGAAGAGCTTGGTGAGAAGGCGAAAGAAAAAGAAAGAGAATTGGAGATAGAGATGCTCAGTGGTAGATAGGGAACAGAAAACTTGAACATAAAAACAGAGAAGAAAAGCGAGAAATACAATGCCAAATACCTGTTTATATGAGCTTCTCATACCCCGTTGTCTTATCCCATTCATCTGACAACAGCAATTTGCATACGCATACGCTACTCATCAGGTATGAGAAGCAACCAAAATGAGGTTTGCCCACCGCAATGACAAAAAGAGAAATTTTTACCGCCGGTTTTCATCCAAAAGGATTATCACCGAATGAAATTCAAATCCGTGACACCAGTAAATTGCACATACTAATCCAATCTGTCAATGTCAGAAAAGAAGACAAACAATCATTCACATATCACCATTCACAAGCAATGAAATTCGTATGCACACCCTCAATATTATGCACTGTTAGCTTGTCATTAATTAGTCACCACCATTCCGGTGATAAGCAGCGGTTACACTATCAAGCGCGGTTGCGACACACACCACATATGCTCACCACATGAAATCCCAATTATCACACGATCGTGCTTATTATTGGCAGTTTCGGTGACCGCAGCCGCAGCCGCACATCATGAACCCTGCATATCTCGAGCATCTTTCTGCACTCTGACACACCGCATATGATTGATTATCGGAAACGCGTGCACTGGAATGAGTCTGCAGTGGTGGTTGATCATGATGACGGATTGTGATCGTGATCGAAAGAGGAAATAATACACGGACTATTGTTTGACTTAAAGAGAGCTGCGGTGGATGTGAGCGGCTATTACTGGGATCGCGTATTGCGCTTCTGCATTTTGATCGACCTTATTAAAATTCTCAAAACAGATTAATGTACACGAACATATATGACATTCAAACCACCGGGCTTGGCCACAGAATTTGGCCACCACGGGCATACGTGTCATTGGTGTATAGGTGGTGGGCGTAAACGTAGAGTTCAGATGAAATGGTGTTGTATAGGTATTTCGAATCAAATGATTGTTCAATGTTTTGGCGTAGATTCAGGACTTCCGCTCTTTCATCGAATCCTCTTGGAAACGGACCTGCTTCTTAGCAGGATTTAGTGCAGTTGAAGGTTCCTTGGCCTTTTTGTCTTCGACTGCCTGTACGCCATGTACAGATCTCATGTGTGTACTCAAAATGTCGCCATCTGGATATGAGAGTCCACAAGCATTACATTTCGAACCAGTTGTATGAAAAGAGGTCAGATGGCGATAAAGATAGTCCCGAAGAGCATACTTTTTGGTGCAAATAGAACATCCGAATGGCTCCCCTTCTGTTTTATGTACACCTCTCAGATGCCGCTCCAAGCTTTTCTTCATACCAAATTCTTGATGACAGACTGAACAAGTATATTTATCAGACTGTTCTCCTCCAACATCCATTTTGTTACCGAAATCAGAAAGAGGTTGCAAAGCTTCGATAGACTTGGGTGGTTTGAAGCGTTCGGAGGTGCTTAGAGAGTTTGACGACAGCAACTTTGATTGTGGAATTGTATCTTTATTTTCGTACAATGGAATATCCTTCTTTGAATGCTTAGGAATGACAAACTATCTCTATTAGTATATAGACCTTTCATCTGAAGAAGCACTTACGTATGGTTTTGATTTTTTCTGTGGCGGAGAGACAATCAAAGCATCTGCAAGTTCCTCCCGTTTGCGCTTTTCGCTGACCACTGAGTTACATGGAGAAATGGGGGGTTGAGGTACTGATGGCAATTTTCTGATAGGCTTCACGATAGCAAGTACGGCTGGAGGCGATTTTGGGTCATCTCTAGCAGACTTCGCGATAAGTGGCCTTTGTTCCTCTTTCTGATTTTTATTGTTTAACGCAATTGGCAACAACGGATTTTCCAAGGCTTTCTTGATGGGTGAAATCTTTTGTGAGGACTGCTCGATTCTCGAGTTTGAGCTAATGCGAAGTAATGGATGTGGATTTTCGATGAAGATATCATCGATAGTATCCGCAAGCAAAGATTCAACCACTGCTCTAGCGTCGGGATACTCGACACATAAACGCAGAAGTATTTTGCCGAGCTGGTCACCACTAGATGATGTGATGGCGTCTGCTAGGGGGCGAAAGAATCGTCGCTTGTCGGGTTCGATTGATGTGAGTATAGTAGATGATTTTGAAAGCTCGTCCTTCCTCAAAGGTTTTGGATTGGTCGACGATAGACTTTGGGGTTCATAGTTGAATCCAAATAGCTGTTGAGGCGAGGCTGTATTGGCGGAAGTCTCATTGTCTGAATCAAAATTGGCGTTTGATTCGAATTCGCCATCATGCCCTTCCTTGGTTGTGATATATTTTGCGTCCCAAGCCGGCGGTACCGTGGTTCTAGCTGCTTCCAAAGCTTTGAGTTTTTCAGCCTTCTTCTGTTGTAACAGAAATTTAATATCAAGGTCACCCATTGCGGCTCAATACAGATCTTTAATTTCCACCCGATGTGACAAGTCGAAAGATCGACAACAAAATGTGATGAATCAAAGGACAAATTCGAAGTCGAAGGATGATTTGTACATGAATTAAGTCCTTAAGAAGAAGAACGAAGGATGACAAAAGGACGTTTCGTAGATATTCTAATAAGGGTTTTACACTCGTTCAAAATTTGGGATAAATTGAACAAACGAGCGATTAGAAACAGACGATGCGCACGATAAAACTTTTGACCCAAAGTCAATTGAATTTAATGAATGAAGACTAGTAAAATATGGATAATTGCGATACGTAGTGAGGGAGAAAAGAAACCAACACGTTGGTTGTCTCTCTTATCACTTTGAAACCTTGATAATAACAAAAGAAATTATCTCATGCAGGTGAGGTGGGATTGTTGTCGCGCTCGCAGATTGAAAAAAAAAAAACGCGATCTTAAATTGTCAATTTCTAGATGAAGTATCACTGAAAACACGAGGTCACGAGATCTTATCTTCGGTCAGATGATATTCAGAATTGAGTTGGTCGTTCCTTCAATTATGCCATTTCAAAATTTGGAAAATTAATTGCCCGTTCTATTGTTCGAGATAGATTTGAACATTCAAATGTCAATTGTGATTGATTCAAATTCCATACATTCAAAACTTGACTTAACGTTCATATTGAAATGTCGCTTCCCATTGATACTTCGAACGCCTTCATCCCTTCATGTCGAGAATGCCTATTATTACATTGGATGCCACAATCTGCATACGTATTTCGATCTTAGAATATATTCTCAATGTATCTCACGGCAATCATGGGCTGAAAGCTGTCTTGCGGGCAAAGAAATCTTATCTTTCTGCCCTTACATGTATTCGGATGTTCCAAGTATTATTTTATTGGTGGCGCCAAGGAGAAAAAACAAATCCTCTACCCAAATCGTTCTTTCGAGACCTGCTTATAGACTATCCTGTATGTCTTACTATCAACTCCTGTGTTCCTTCCTCAAAAGTCTGCATCACGCTATTCTTGTTTGCGCCTTCCCTCCATGGTTGATAGCTTTCAGCCATATGCTCGAAGCTGGTGTGAGTCAACTTTATTTACCTGTATCTTTTGCAAGAGACATTTGGATTTCTCCTCACCCCTTGGTGGCTTTAAGAATTTGCCTGAGCTTTCAATTATTTAGTATTTCAATACTCTCTGCCTAAGTCCATTTCTTATTTCTCCTTCATTCTCATCATTAATTGTCCTTCTTTTTGCATTTAAACCCTCCATCTTTCTGGAGGTTCGTCAACGCCATCCTTTAAGCATCAATCTTTCTGCTCAAAGCAATCATGGCACCACATTCGTTAAGAGATTCGTTATTCTTTGCTGCCACCTTTGGTGTTGCAAGTGCAAGCATCAAATTAGAGGGCCGTAATCCTCAACACTTGGATCTTGCACCTCGTCAGGCAAATTGTCCACCTCCAGTGACAGTCACTGTTTATCCAAGCTTTTGCTCAGCTGCGCCATCTTCTACTGTTGCAACGTCTTCTGCTTTCCCTACATCCAGTGCGGGACCTGAATCGACAAGTACTGCTGTGCCAATCGTCTCCAGCCAATTAACATCGAACCCTGCTGCGACTAGCAGTGCCTCAGAGCCAACTTCTTCCGGTAGTAATCTTCCAGGATCTACGTCGATTCCCGGTAGCTCAGGAAGCCCCTCCTCATCAATTGGCCCTGTTTCTTCTCAGGAAAGTGTGCTTCCAACTTTTTCGAGCTCCGCAGCTGTATCAAGCCTCTCATCGATACTTCCTTCTTCGGTACTCCCCACTTTCAGTATTTCGGAGTCGCAATCATCTTCAGTGTATATTTCGGTTAGCAGTACTCTATCCTCCGAAGCTGTTCCTACGAACAGTAATGCTCTCTCCACCGCTCCAGGATCCTCCTCGGTAGCTGCTAGCACGTCAAATCCTGTTAGTGGTGGCTCATCGACCGTGATAAACTCAAATACCCCCATCTCCTCTGGAATTACAGCAACTTCATCAAATGTTCTCTCCTCAGTTGTTGCTACTTCTTCTGATTCACCAGTTCAATCTTCAACCGCATTATCGACAGAATCGACAGTGGAAACTTCGACTGTTCTTGAGACATCTTCGCTCCCAGGTAGCACTGCGTCACTTTCTACCTTTGTCCCAACCGAATCCCACGCTACAACTTCCACTGTTTTCGAGACATCTTCGCCATCAGGTAGCACCAGTATATCAATTGAGTCTTCTTCATCCGTAGCTGCTAGCTCTTCCGTGCAAACAATTTCCAGCTCAGCCGTTATTTCGCAAAGTTCAGCTGTTGAAACCGGGGTATCTAGTCTTTCATCTGGAGTTGCCACTTCTTCAATTTCGTTGATATCGTCTTCGCTTATTTCTGAATCGGCATCAAACTCTGCAAGTTCATTTATGTCCGCATCCGCGACGGACTCGGCATCCGCTTCCAGTAGCTTAACATTATCTGAATCGGCATCAACTTCGGGTACCTCGGTAACATCTGGTTCTGCGTCGGAATCTGCAACTTCTACCCCTCCACTCGTTTCCGCTTCCGCGGTAGAATCTAGCAGTACTTCCAGTTCCTCTTCTGGAATTACTAGCTCATCAGTTGGTCTAGAATCCAGCTCAAGCGTCCCCATCGTCTCAAGCTCAACCTCATCCGAATCAGTATCGACATCTACTAGCTCAACTGTATCCGAAGAATCTTCATTCGTATCTTCGACCGCTAGTTCAGCTTTTGAAAGTAATACTTCCTCGGTTTCATCCTACATCGCCACCAGCTCGACGATACCAGGATCTCCATCTTCGATTGAATTCAGCTCACAACCAACCGTAACTTTGAGTTCACTTCCAGTAACTTCCATTTTGAGCTCCGAGTCTACTTTAGCACCTAGTAGTTCGATAATTTCATTTGTACCAACTTCTACTATTGCTGTATCCAGCGGGGCTGCCTCCTCGTCTGCTGCAATTAGCTCGAGTGCCGTTGTGTCCTCGACCCCCGCAGCTAGCTCCAGTGCTACCACTACCGGAACATCAGTTTCTGGACCAACTCAGGTTCCATCCGTCGTTACTGCTGCTGGTGTATACGAGGAAATAGGTTGTTTCTTGGATTCTACCTTCGATGGTTTCCCGTTGACTCCACCTCCCATGCCTGTCAATAACAATAGTTCTCCGACAGTTACTGAAACACCCGCTAGCTGTGCATTGTTCTGTTCCACTGCGAACAATGGGGGTCCATTCACATACATGGGTATCGAACCAGGTCATTGTTATTGTTCAAATGGATTCAATCTCGGTCAACCAGAAGGTATTTGCAACTTTCCATGTCCAGGTGATCCATCGCAATCTTGTGGAGGTAATTCTCCAGCCAAAAGATTCTCAAGACGTAATGGTCCACCTTCAATCGTCGCTTATCAGCTTATCCCTGCTGCTGTATCATCTTCTACGATTAGCTCACCGCCAGCTACTTCCTCGTCGGTTCAATCTTCCGGAAGTGACATATCTTCTGCTGCTTCTAGCACGATTCCTGGATCTGCATCAGCTAGTCTCACTTCTTCGGCTGCTCCTTCTTCGATTGCCTCGAGTCAAATATCTTCTTTACCTTCCGAAGTATCCAGTATTGCCTCGTCAACCGTTCCAAGCCAATCTGCTTCGGCTTCGGCATCTGCTAGCGCAAGCTCTTCTGGAGTTTTATCCAGCATTTTGCAGTCCTCTTCTTTGACATCTCAATCCGCCATAATTAGCTCCAGTATTCCTCTATCCTCAGAAGTTCCTGGAACGACTTCAAATGTCGGATCCTCAAGTGCCCTCTCTTCGAATGTCGCGTCTTCGATTATAACATCCTCCAGTGGTGTCGTCTCATCCAGTGGAGCTGCTAGCACTTCTTCGATTGCTGAAACTTCTTCAAGTATTCCAACCGGTTCATCTGCCGTTTCTTCGATGATTTTATCTAGTCAAGGTACTATTGAGCCAATGACTTCAGCTACTCCTTCCACTGCTATCCAAACCACTTCTGCAGTCTCTTCTGCTGAGCCAAGTACTACTGAACCTTCAGTATCATCCAGTGGTGTACCAAGCACTGTTGAGCAAACGGTCTCATCCAGTGCTATATCCACATCTGAACCAGTTCTCACCAGTGATGTAACAACCAGTAGTGTAGGATCTTCGATCTCACCCAGCGAAATTGTTAGCTCGTCAGCACTAACTTCCAGCAATGTTGAACAATCCACTAGCCAAGCTACAAATACCCCCTCAAGCACAACTGAGCAACCATCAGTCGCTTCATCTGTACTTCCAGAATCTAGCACTGTTTCTAACAGTGCTCAACCAACCACCTCTTTGGCCAGCACGACTTCCGAAATTTCCTCTGTAATTTCTTCAGAATCCAACACAATCCCAAGTACTGTGCCCCCTACCACTTCAGCCGCTTCCATTACCTCCGAAACTTCCTCACTCCTTGGCTCAGAATCTAGCACTATTCCAAGTACTGTGCTCCCCTCCACTTCAGCAGCTTCCACCACCGAAATCCAAAGCTCATCCACCACCTCTGAACTTCCCAGCAGTACATTATTCTCCTCCTCCGCTGAATCCTCATCGATTCTAACAACTTCCTCTGCTGCCCCTTCTTCATTCTCTACCCGTACTTCCTCAAGTTCGAGTTCGAGCACCACTTCCACTTGTCCAGCGGCAACAATCACAAATGGTGGATTTGAATCCGGATCTTTGTCTCCGTGGGCACCTAGAAGTGATGGTATTGCCAACGCCAAGAGTAACGTTGTTATCAACAACCCTGCCGTTGCCCATACTGGTAACTCTTACCTGTAAGTATTTCCTTCCTTTTTTCTTGTCCGCTTCATCTCTTCCAAGAAACCCAAACTAACACTCACTCCCTAGTCAAATAACCATGACTCAAGACTTCTTGTCCCTTATCCAACAGACCACCACCATCTGTCCCGCCACCAAATCTCTCACGGTCACAGCCTGGGGTCAAGCCGCCAAGTCCCGCGACTGCTGGCTCCAAATCTGTGTTAACAAAGATAGCTATTGTTCCGTTCCAACTCCTCTCAAGAAGGGTAAATGGAAGAAGAACACAATCATCTACAAACCAAAGAAGAACTTGATTGGCAAGACAGATGCCAAGGTACAGATTTATACTGAGTGTAGAGGAGAGAGCGATGGTATGGTATTGGTTGATGATGTGGTCATAACCAAGACGAAGTTGAGCACCAGAGAAATGGCACCGCAGTTGGCGCCAAGAATGGGGACGTTGAGGATGATTGACGCTTAGGAGGGTGTCTTCTTCATTTGTTGTAAGGAAATATTCTTGAATTTTAGGCGTGTACGCTAGTGCTGTTGGCGAAGGGAGATTGAGATAATGTGGTGGAAAGGGGAGGATGAGATGCGATTCCTTGTTTTTGTTCTTTTAAGTTATTTTTAGATCTTGATTTTGGTTTTGAGTTAAGATTGAAGCTTTTTTCTTGGGGTAGAACTAGGGTTAAGATAAGATAAGGATATGAGAAACAATGTATGAGGAAAGTATAACGATGGATCAACGGATGTTTTTTCTTAAGTGGCTTTATGTATTAGTTATGTATGAGGTTAGGCTATGTTATATCTCTAGGGCTACCTCAATTCATTTGGTATTAGCTTTGATTTTTACCTTCGTTGATTGATGATTAAATCTCTCTTGCTTGAACGTGGTGAACCCGTGGGGCTTGTGTTCGTGCAATGGAACATGATGCGGGGAATATCCCGCAGCTTGGGTTATACCGCCTTAGGGTTTGTGGTGGCAGAATTAAGCACCGTGGCTAAAACTGCAAGGGGCTCGGGTGTCAGTTACACATCACGTCATTGGTCAATGCGGGGTCGCGGTCTGTTGTTCAATTAAAGTTTTCATTGAATGATTGTTTGATCAGCCCATTGTATTTTTAACCCATCAACCGCACCCATCGAGCCACCCTTGTTCCTACGTTGTATCATAATGTCGTTATATCGTTCCTGTATTCCAATCCTATCCTTTCCCTTTTTTTTTCGTTGCCGTTTCTAAACTCCAAGCTCCGAGCCCTGGTATCCCATCTCTTTCATCACACGTGGTACACATGATCTATCTCTATATATATCAAATGGCATAGCATAGCATAGCAAGCGCTAGTACAAGTACAAGTACAAGAGCTACTGCCCACCACCATTGCTGTAGAATGCCGCATCAAAGTTTTGGATGTTGTTTCTCGCGGCGGCGGTGTAGTACTGGGTGACTGCTGCCTGATCACCGTTGTACACAAGGGTTGGAGATGCGTAGGTGGTAGAGTGTTGAGAGTCGTTGGTGTAGGTTTGGATGCGGTTGGTTGAGAGGATGGATTGTTCGGCTGGGGATGTTCGGGTTGTGGAGGTGGAGTTGACACTGTGTTGGGAAGAATGTGTTAGTGCATGTTGGTGGATGTATGAAAGGAAGTGCGGGATAGGAGATGGGAGATGTGTGAAGTGGTTGTTGATTCGAAAAGGTGATGGAAGAAAAAAGGTAAAGTTTATGTGAAAAGAAAGGCGATACGCAAGGTGGGGAAGAGCGTAAACAAACTTTCAGTGGGAAATGTAGAGGCGACAGAACAGGCTTGGACAGTAATAAGGAACAGACACATAACATATAATGAATGAGTAGTACTCATATGGGCTGGAGAACACGAGGAAAAGGTGTACTGAGTAGTAATAAAAGGTTCCAGGAAGAGATAGAAGTAGAGAACGAAGTGGTGAATGGGGAGACACGAATGTATGAAAGAACAGCAATGTTTTAGTATGGAAGACTGAACTGTGAGAGCGCAGCGAGAAGTGACATCAAATAGGAGGGATGATACAAAAATTTCGAAGAGAAAAAACTCATGAAAGTCGGAAAGGAAAATAAAGAGGTTGTAAACTCACTCAAAGATGTTTGAGCCTTTTACGGCAGTGTTGAATGTTTGGCTAGCCATGATGATGGTGTTTCAAGGGATATCAACGTGATGCTTGATAGAACCCGGTGTTTTTGAGGTGGTCTTGAGGTGGATATGGATATTGTAGAAGGTAGTTGAGCTTGAGGAGATGAGTTTAAAAAGGATATCATTGCAGCGAGAGAATGGAGTTATATACCCACCACCACCTGCATCAGAAAATCGACATTGCTGGCGGACCAATCCGATTCTGTCGAATTGGGCGATAACCTTAGAGGGTGCACAAGCAATTGTCAAGCGAGATCGGAAAACGAATTAGATACTTGCATTTTCAAGACCAATTTTCGACTCGATCATAAAGCAGCGATCCAGTATCTCGCAATCTTTCTTCTATATCTATCATCAAATCGATCAATTGTTCTTTCAGGCCTAGAATTTGTCAAATTAGACCAGTAAATATTTGTTGATTTAATACCTTATCAAACTATACCTAGAGGCTTTTTATGAGTACCGTTGATCAATATTCACTAGGAATTAAAACTACTCATCTAAACAAATCAAGAGTTTGGTAAGAAATCTGAGTATTCTACAAGGTACAGTATTTATTAAGTCCCCGCATAAATCGACCCGAAACCACTCAAAGATCACATATTCTGAGATTGAATTAGAATTTCAAAATTCTTTTTGATTAGATCGTTTACATTGGCTCAATCCTCGGTATAAACCCTTGTATTTCACTTGGTTTAGACTTGCCCCTCATGAGGCGCGCTTTAGGTTGCATTTTTCGCTACAAAGCGGGATGTAGGCCCTGACTTCTTTTTTTTATCGACGCCAATTGGCATGGCTAAGATCAAATGAAAGCAGGTAGACAGCACAACATCAAATTCTAGGATGGTACAGATTCTTTAAGCGGCGTGCCAGAATTTCCAGGAACATTATTGAAATCTGAGAACCCCGTTCCTGGAGGCTCTTGCTAAGTGGTTTATGTGCACCCTATGGACGAAGGTCCTGTGGCTTTTGATGGTTGATCAGGGTATGCTTGCCAAGCAATTTGTGATCAAAAATGGATAGACTAGGGGCACCCTGACTGCACTTCGTGCGACCGCATCGTCAGCATGAACATGATGCGCATCCTCAACATCGGAGTACGGAGGCGGAAATGGTATTACGAGCTGTAACAATTTGTTATTCCAAAATTTACTTATCTGTGTTGGTCCATTGGCTGTTACTGAGCCCGTGATTGATGATGATGAATTCTACCCAAATCCACCAGAGTTTTTCTGTGACCCGTTATGGCTTGACTTGAATGTAGAAAGTCACACACAGATCATGCAGATTGTTTTTCGTGCAAGTTGCACATACAATTGTAAAAGAATTGGGGTTTGGTTCTAGATCATCAATCATGGTTCTTAAATTTACTCAACGTTCAAATCTGTAAGGCTACGGCATGTTATAATTGCGATTACGAATGTTTCCAGCTGTTAGCTACCACTGCCCCGGGTAATACTCGAATTCGCCCAAAGCAACCATACATGATACCAGAACTTTTGTCCGAGGTCACTGGTTTCGCGACCAACCATTTGTTCTTTCCACGATTTTGAGCCTAGATCAGGCGTTTCTTCATCGTGTTAAGTTCTGCCACACAACGGTTCTTGGACTTCGAGAAGCACTCAAAGACTTGTCTAAGATGTGCGTACGACTCGGTATTGATCACATAGCTGCACAAAAATGATGCTACGGTTTGAGTAGAGCTTTTCAGCTGGATTGTTCTTGTCACTTCTTGGAGTCTAGTAGAATCGCAGTAAAGATTGTTGGTCCTCACAAGATTTCGCTCTCCCGGCAACATGTCATCCCTTATATGCTTTTGGACGACGCATAGATAACCTTACAAAATCATGATTGAAAATCATAGAAGATGATATTTGCAATGACGCAGTGAAAGCTCTAGATATCCTTAATTCTTTTACGGGAGACTTAGAAGAGATGATGTTGATACCACTTCCGTCGATAATTGATCCTAGCAGGCTACCAAATCAGTGTTAGATGGATGGTGACAAGTGGGCATGGGTTGTTGGATCTACTGATAAGGAGAAATGTATTGCCGGCATCCGATGGTCTCTAAAAGATCACTAGAAGTCCGAGCAAGCCGATGGGGGTCTGGGTATGTGTAGTTCACGACCTTTTTACTTTATTCAACCTAAATTCTAACTTGCGACGACAAATAAACTTTTGTTTGTGCTTCAACTTGTTTGATCACATTTATGGTAGATTCGTGATTCCGATCAATTTTTACAATTAAAATACTTTATTCCAGCAATTTTTTTAATTTACATTGTCTATACTTTCTCTCCTCTAGTACTTATGGAGAGCAAGTGCGCGAACTCCGAAGAGAACGAGGGCGGTGTCACATACGTGTAATTATTAAAGCAAAAAAAAAAAGGTGGTAATGAAGCATCCCGATAGAACAATTGGACATGTATTTTTTTCCCGAAGAGGGATTGTGCGACAAAAGTTCGCAACTACTTCCATTCCGTCGCAAATTTGCAGACATCCCAGCACAACACTTTATCATTCGTATATATATGCAAAGTGTAATTGTGCACGCCTACGAGGCATTCTGTTACTGTTATTGGGTCAATTCAAAATTGTTATGAGTGTGCCAAGGGCCAATTAGCCTATTTTTAGGGTCATGTATTGTCCCAATTATGTTTCGGTACTTGATCTTGGGTGCTAAGTTATGATTACGACACATGTCAAAAGAACTTCCTGCAGTCAGCCACGCCCACTCCGCTTTGCACTACGCTAGCTACCACACTTCTAATAAATTTTGATCTATGTTTGGGCGTCTAGCAAAAGAAACTTATGCGTTGGATTTTATAAACCTTTTGTATAGCATAATATATTGATTGTCTGTGTTTTCAAGACTTAAGAATCCATTTGTGTGTAATTATATAAAGAATTAAAGAAACAAATGATTTCGAATTATTATATACTCTGAAATGTAGGCGAGATCCCTCGCCCCGGATTAGTTTGGTAATGAGGAATGCCGACTTTTTTTGGCATTGATGTACCTTTCCATCTTTCTTTGGTTGAATGGGACGTTCTAAAGGGGCCGAGTCGTTCAATTTGAATGTCATGTGATACTACATAATTCCTCCAAGTCTGTTCCTTTGTTCTTTTCCGATGCCCTTCCATAAATCTCGTCAGAGCCTTATCTGAAGTAATCCAGGGGAGTGAACAAGGGGAGCTGTGACGCAAGTGAACAGAGATTCTAGGTACATGAAGGAATGAGAAAGGTTGAAAAATCATTGGAGAGCAACCTTGTGGCTGTTGCCGATCAACAGATCAGGGATTCTGGTTGGTTCTGCACAGGACGGGAGTAAACAATTAGTAATCGAGGAGGAGGGTAATGATGATGAGCAAGTTCTGGACATGTAATCGGCATCCTCACACACTTTCTACAATTTAGAAGTTGATATTCCCATTCAAGAAATTGGATGGAGCATACTTTAATCAATAAGTTCATCGAAGGAATTCATTTTAAACATCCTTCTTAGTAAAATATGTCCGCGTGCACATCCATCCAGTGTCGAAACGTCATTTGAGGCTGAAGGTACAACATGTGGCCTTTCTAGGTACTCTAAATAAGACATCCCGACCGTTGAAGATATTCCAATATTGCTGGGATGCCAAGCTAGTACTAGCTCAAAATCGGTCTCAACACGTGATTTTATAAAGATATAAATTTTATTTTCAATTTAACCGAGCCACGATTGCACATTATAGTCACGATGAAATCGGTTACAGGCTGTCCAGGTGCTATCTGCTTCTTTCAAATAAGATCCGCTTAAAGCAGAATCAGTGAAAACGTAGTGGAGTTTAAATATAAGAGGCACCCTCTTTGCATACAGGAATCCCAATTTCCACATCAATTAATTGAACAACGGAGGTGAGGAATAGGCCATTGAAGTCAAGATACTTAGTACGATTTTAGGTTTTATATCTAATTTCTCAAAAGCTCTATTTCTACCTAGGTATATAACTGAAATATTATCGATGAGCTACAGTGTACAGCTATGTGATTAATGCCACGATGAAGTCAACAAACATCCTCACTTTCTGTACCTCAACATTACTATCTAATCGTCAACAAAGAGTGTGACCGAGGACACAATGGTTCTACCAAGATGCGCTATCGCTTGCGAATCCAAGACATAGGTTATCGTATAAGTAAAACCGAAATGTGGAAATTAAAAGCCTTTTCCGAATACCAATCATGTAGTTGCGGTAAAAGACACCGGTATATTGCCCCTGAGGTTTTCTGTCGCAGTTCTTATGTGAAATGACAACTACAACACGAAATTAACACGCAACAAGACAGGGAATATTACACAGGGAATACTACATAGGTGACTCGAATTTCGCTTCATCATGACTTGAATAGAAGGTCAAGATAGCTTTTGGGGGAGGTGCATAATCTTGTTTATAGTAGAAAATGTACAAAAGTATGTTGTTTTTGCAGGTGAGTTGGATCAACTTCAGATACAAAGATCATGATACAGACTACTCTAAAGTTGTAGTGTCAATCTGTTTTCCAGACGCTTTGCACTTTGTCTCTTTGCATATTTCTTTCTTTTTTCATGTCTTTGAAGTTTTCCGTGCATCTGCTGAGCCGCAACTGGAGGTCTGTCATCGTGTACAGAATGATCCTAATTTTAAGGACCTCTGCCTTGATTCTCTCGGCATATCAATGCAATTGAATTTCCATACAAAAGATTGAAAATGTCTTATTGTCTTTTCCCTGCCGATCGACCAAAGCAAATTTACTTCCTCTCAATATCATCTGGTAACTCCTCGTCTTTTCCCTAGTAAAATCAACATTCCTCACTAAATATCTCCTTCACATCACAACTGGCGAGTCCCAAAGGGGGTTGTAGTCGTGACCTCTAAGCACCACCGTTACTACCGCCGTTGCGGTAGAAGGCTGCGTCGAATTCTTGCAATTTGTTTCTCATCTGAGACACCGCAAAGTCAACAGTCTTGTCACCAACATGTTGTTGGTTGATTGATGTGTGAGGAACCAGGAGATCGGGATCTGCGAGATAGGAACTCACGCGATTGGCGGAGAGGTAAGTGTCCTCGATACGGGTAGTGTTGGAAGCGACGTTGTTACTAAAAGAGAGCTTTATTAGATCATGAGGCAAGAATGATAATTTAACAGAAACTGAATGCACAGAAACACAATAAAGTTTAAGTGTTTGCGATGGGTAGTAGGAGAACACAAGTGAACATTCATTCAGCCAAATTCGAACGACAAGCAAGTTCTTGAAACTGTTTCGGGGATAGATTCCAACACGACAAGAACTCACTCGGATGGCACAGATCCTCGCACGGCTGCAGTAGAGCTCTCAGTGGAGTTTGACATGATGATCTTGTAATGTATGTGCGCGTGGTTTCTGGACACAAGGATTAAAATACTGGGATATGGACAGAGAAGAGAACATAATTTCGTGAGGGAAAAAGACTATTTATATGTGCAATTCTACTTCGGTGAGACTAGTGGTCTGAAAGGTCCCAAGAACTGACATTTTCCTTTCTGACTATGTTCACAATGTTATATTGTTATATTGCGTTGATAAAACAAAAAGATCCGCGAAAAATCGGATGTGCAGGTGGAGAAATGAGGCGGACAATGTGATGAGTGTGAAATCTCCTAACTACCATTATTCTATGCATCAGGGTTGTACAGGAAAATGTATTTTGCCCCAAAGCGTCGATGGACCAAATTGGACGCCATTGATTTTGCAGAGTACTATCAAGCACATGGCGACCATCGTACTTCTTGATTGCGCAGGCTTCCCTTGCCATCATTTAGTTTGCAGAAGACGTTTTCATTTCTTTTACTCCTAAGAAACAGGCGAATGTAAACTGCCTGTCGCACAGCTTGGAATATTGATCCACTGCCTTTTTTCCGTCAGCAGTGTAACTTATTATGTCGCTACAAATTAGATTTCGAGATTTCAATCTTGAAGGTGATTGAACGCAGCCCTGGCGCAGTAGACACACAAGGACTCGGTCCGAGATAAACAGAACTGGCTCGCTCCAATAGAAACATAAGAATTAAATCCGAGAAAAAAAGTCATCAAGCGCCCCAAACAGACATACGACATTTAAATCCGACGTAAACAGAACTATCCAGCTCCAATAAAATATAAGGATTAAATCCGAAATCAGCTGAATTAAGCATTTCGGTGTTTAAGAGTACATAACACTGTGTGTTATCACTTCTCTCACGATGTAAACAAGCGGATCCAATGATACTGGGATTGACATGTGAAGTTGGCTTGTGTGTTTATATATCCAAAATATTCAGGATCAGCTTCCCTGCAGGACGGTAAGCATCATCACTTTTATCCTTCGCTTGTATTGTTTGATCTCGTTCATCTATGTACGAGCGTCTCTTCAACATTGAATCATTCACGTGATCAACCCCGCTTTCCATTCTGATGCCTGTAGCTGCAGCTGCAGCTTACATACAAAATTGCGTAAGGATGCTACGTTAGCCATTAAAATTCTCCAGCTTACCTTGATATGACTATCAATATTTCATGATTGCCAGTTGATACTGAGCGAGCCCACAATTTTGGAGATAGTTAAAGAGTAGATGTCTCACAAAAGCTTAAGCGAGAATTTAAAGGGGAAGTTTCGTATTATTTCCAACAAGACACTTTCCACTCAAAAGCAAACAACTCAATAAATTTATACCTCTCCGCACTCCAAGAAATGTTTCGGAATCTTGACACAATAGCACTAGGCTTTTATGGAATCGACAAGTGATCTCTTTGCTCCGTCCGAGCCCAACCATTAATTTTTGATTAACTGCCCTTCTCCATATGCCATCCCTGGGCTAATACATCGTCCAAGCAGTAAAATTAAGAGCCAGTATTGCTCCGATCATTAGATCCATTGTTACTCCCACTGGTATTGCCATCAAAAGCCTTGTCGAATTCCTCCAGCATAGTACCCATTCTATATCCGACGGCCGCTACTCTGTTAAGCTGTTTATGAACACTAGCTTGAGGATTTTTGACCATCATTGCATATGGAACAGAGGTATTTGGGTCTTGGAGGTAGCTATGAATTCGAGAGGCCGCGATTCTTTGGGATTCCGCGGACTTGGCAGAGGAAGATCGAAGAGATGAGATATTCTTTGGGCTAGACATGAGAGACGGCTGTTAGTATACTTCAAAGTGGGTGGAGAAAAATAGAGTCATAGCCTATCAGTTATAATATTAAGCGCATGTGATAGTATTGGACAAGAGACGATACGAGAAGGCGACTCTGAGAGGTAGATCTTTGAAGGAAAGAGGTAAATATACAACCATGGTTGAACTGGGGAAAGCACTGACATATAAGAGTAAATGAAGCATAAACTAGACTAACGGAGAGATATGAACTAGTAACATGAACAGGTTTGGCTAGGAACGGTATGAAAATCTAAATGGATCCGAAGAGTTAAACACCGAGATTTTTAAAAAGAGCCTCGAAGGAGAATAAATGATGTTCTTGGAGTCGACTAATATGTAAGAGATAGAATAATAATTTTGTAAACTCTTAACTTACTAAGGAGCTTTAGAGCCTTCCGAAACAATCTCGGAAGTTTGGCCAGGCATAATGTGAAGTGAGGTGGAATTCGTGATATGAAAGAGGGTACAAGTAACGAGGAGCCAGTGCACGTGACTTTCTTAGAATCACTAATCCTCAAGAGCAAAGTTTGAGAAAAGATAATCAATTTAAAGAAGAGATATTGCATTTGGAAACAATTCTGGGATTATGATAGTTCTTATATATGTTTTTGAATGAGTGGGCTTACCTTATTGTTATATAGTATATTTTTTGAGATGAATGTCTTAAAGAATGAGGCAAATGCAAACCACGGTTTTCGGTGAGATGCTTCCCCCACCATCCCAGAAAATACTCAAGGATGGTTTCTCCAACTCGTACTCTAGATACGCGAGGAATTTAGCCTGTTTGTTTTACCAATTCGGCGCATCATTAGCTGGCAGTTACAACCTGGCTTAAATTTTCTGTGCTGCTTACTTGCCCTACAGAAGATTGTGGTTTATTAAGGATATAAAGGCGTTGTAAACCATGAAGATCATACATTATAATCCTTGAAGCGAAGCTCATACTACCCTTGCAAACCAGACCGCCAATTCCTTCTTTTCAGACGTCAATCTTGGACCTACAGTTCTCATCAATCTTTGATACTATTCCAGCACAAACACTGAGGCATTGATTATTACCTTGGCTATTCGAATATACCCACATCATAATTACCAGTTACTTATCCATGAGCAGAAAGCTTGAAGATATCATAATATATTCATTTTGTGTTCATTTATTTTCTTTGCTTGTCAACTTTTATTCGAGCCTAAACTTGCAGAAGCGCTAACAACGAAAGCATTCTATGCTGCTCATATTGTTGAAGCTCGTATAGATAGTTTCCGATTTTGTAATTCATAGAAAGTCGATTCATTTACGCGACGAATCGTAGAAACTTAGATCATTTGGTTGCAATTAAAGCATCGACTGAGAATCATTCTAGAATTTTTTCCTCTGATTTATAGAAGCTGCTGATGTAACCTCAGCTATCGGAACACGTTACCTCTGTATATTATCGTCAGCCACACCTGTCAATATTTCTTACACATCAACAGCATTTCCTTCATTGATATACGACAGGATAATACTCTCCCGACATAAAAAGTTCTTTTTAAGTGAATGAAAAGGTATTCTGGTAGCGGCGACGCTTATGAACGCTTTAAAATGGGCCTCGGGCTCAAAGATATCCTAATCAACAAAGAATCTTGACTAACATCAGGCCTTTAGAGCATTTATTTTGCGCGCATCATACTAAGGCTACTTCCTTTGCGACCACTAATTGATGAATCAAGGATCAAAAGAGAGAAACACATTGGGATCTCACCAAAAATGAACTGAATGAGCTGCAATACGACGACTGATTTGACCCAAATGTCAACAAGGAAATAATAGCGCATCCATGGATCTCGAATTGGGATAAGGAAGAGATCATGGAGATATATCTGGCATATAGAGCTACACAAGTGTGTCGGAAAATTAACGCCCAGATACTCGGTAAGCTGAACCAATTCCAAAAGAAACTAGTGTCTGGATTTCCCAAAGAACTAATTTCTGCCTCGAAATCAGTGGCCCGAACTATAGGAACAATTTTTAATCCACAACCAGTCTAGAAAGTTCCTTTACATAGCCATGCATCGAGTCCAAACTTTATGCTTACTCGATTCTGCCATCGATATGCCCATCCTGATCCCTCCCGCAAAGCAAGCTTCCTGAAAGGTAGGTTACTATCAAGCAAAAGTTCTTTCATGTGTCATAGCTAATCACGAAACTCAGTAATGCATCTTCTGAGGTCCGCTGCGATTGCTTCCTTGCGAAGCTCTGTGTGTCTTGGACTGGGCAACTCGTCGTCGATAATAGAAGGCGAGGTGTAAGGAACAGAATGATCTGAATCAGCAAGGTAGCGATCCATGCGGTAAGCATAGAGTGATGACGAACTGATAGTTTCGGTAGAGGCGGGGATGGAACTGGAACAGTTCGGTGAGGTAGAATTCTCATTCGTTCTAGTTAGATACAAGAGTGTTAGTCAGACTTTCTACTTTGTACTTTGAGGCTGGGAGGAAAGATTAAGTAAACGATCAACATATGAAGATGGACAAGAATGTTAATGGCGATATCAAGTGCATAGTTGGCAGTTCTGATTGTTTTGAGCTCTAAAGCGATGGATCAAGTGATGAAAACTGAGAAGGAAGATACTTCACCATAGCTAGTATCCAGCAAGTAACAGAGCAAGACATCAAAGCGGCAGAAAAAAATGAGTCTTCATTGAAGCTTTAAGCCCCCCACCGAGTGAAAAGCTTGGGAGATATGATATAGAAGTGAAACGTACCACTTATAGAAGGGTAACAGGTATAGAAAGAATACTGACCCTGCCACTTCGGAGCCTTGGACCGCCAAATCGGAGTATTGACTCAAGTTAGACATGACAATAGTAATTGTGGGAGTTTTCGATCGGGCAATTCACGAAAGTCTCGTGAGTCGATGATAACAAGGGGAGTTTATTCATGAGGGAAGGATCGATAGAATGTAGGGCCATACTTAAAGAGAAGGGGCTTTATATAATGAACTGAAAATTGGGAAAGCCGCCAAGCTATAGATAGCAGGTTTCATGTCATTGAGACTGTTGCGCTCTGAGGATCAGGCTGTTTTTCACCATGAACTGGAGCCACGAAATTAATGCATCATTTATCATGCACTATGCCTATTGCCGAGCTGTGGTGTTAGATCACATCACACAATATCGAAGGGTATGCCCCGCACCAAAAATGTCTATTCTAAGCTTATCTAGACTGCTCTTTTCTCTTTCAATATATCTATTGTTTTACACTCGTCCAACAATACTGTTGTTTTTGGTCGCAGATACGTAAGTTTTTCAAGTACTTGCCAAGATTCAAGGGTATATAATCAATACGTAAAAGTCAGTACTATTAAACATAAAAATGATAACTCAATTTATTGGTATATCAATGAAGTATCTGCAACAAGAAGGACGGTAGGGAGATCTCATAGAATGTTACACTAGCACTATTAGAGTCATATTCAAATATAAGGTACTTTCTAGGTATTATCAGTAACAAAAAGATTAGTGAAACAAAGGCTTACCTAAAAGGGAAATATCAAGAAGTGACAGGTGTGCCAAAGGTCTAGAAACTTACATTACTTGCAGATGCAGGATCAGGTATACCTAAAATCGAGGCCTTAAAAAATGCAAATACTCATATCCAAGCCGTTGAATAGGCAAGCTTGAACTAGGATAATAACGGGTGGCTGCTATACCTGCCGAACTATGCTCGGAACGGAACGAACCCGTATGCACTTGGTGAGATAGTCATCAGGTGGAAGCTTTGCATCCACCAAATAAATTCCAGAAATTCCCAACGATGGTCCAGACCAACTCATCGAAGTCCGGGCAGGCATTCCCGATAATCCATGTGCAAGTGGCGTTTGCACCTGCATATCCGGAGAATATTTGATTGATAGATTCGACAACCACTAGCCGAGTGGCAACAACCTGTTGAAAGAATTCTCAGTCGCTCTGAGCATTGCAAGATCGTGCAATATTGACAAAAATTTTGGGTACTGTCATATTTCAAAGAAATCGCATCTCATCGTTCCACCGCGCCTCTAATCGGTCCTCTAATCTAATGGAGATGGATAGGCACAACACGACAACGCTTGGCAGAGATTGGTGTCATGTATGATCGCAATAATTCTATGCTACTGTGGTACAGCATCTGAAGAGTTTAGATATTTCACATTTTTTGTGATTCCGGTTAGATATTATGGATTCCTAGTAGCGCAATGTCTTGGCCTCATATGAGAAATTCAATAAAAGTCACTTGTAAGGCGGCTTTGCTTGTTTTTTGCGCAAAGGCCTTGTGCCTTTCTAGTACGAGCTAACGATATGACAGGCAGTGTGTTGTCTCCAAAGATAATGATTTTCCCTTATCACGTCATAATCCCACCTCGGTATTGCGCATCAGGAATATCTCTTAGGTGTGTTAGAAGAGCTTTCTCGGTTTTCTAACGTGGCTCTGGGACTACGTTGGTTACATCTAAAAACGAGATAATAATAATCAATGTAGGTGTGGTTACAATTTATCGGGCGAAATCCCGATCATCGGCTGAGACGGCTTCCTCTCGGGAACACATTCGCTGTTACTATGAAGCGGACTATGAAGTGAGCCTCACCAGCACTTGGCTCCATCTCACAAGCTGAAAAAGTATTTCTTCTCCTTTTGTTACAGCCCTGTGCGATTAAAATCGGGGCCAGAAAACCCCCGTTAGAGTGATCTCGCAACCGATCAATTTTCCGAAACTAATGTTACCAAATTAGACCCTTCATTAATACAACTTTGCTAAAGTTAGTCTTCATACCTATCATAACATCTGCATAATGTTGGTCTAGCAGCGTTAGTATTCACGGCTCATCTTCGGCTCAAGGTGTAGGGTACAATTAGCGATGGATGAATGAATGCACCACCGGAAATTTTAGTATCTCGGTCGCCAATTTGCTCTCACAAATCCAAGACCAACAACGTTTTTCTCATAGAATTGATTGTCGAACCCAATTTTGATTAAATATTTGAGATTATGATATAAGTATTGAATTTAAAATCAAGAAATTAATTTCTAAGCTCTACACAAAACTGGACCTTTTAAAGTTAAAGTGATAGTACCAATCTCCACGTGGAATAGTGCCATCACAACACCTTGTTCCATCAATCAAGCCTCAGCCTTACAAGAAAAATCAATGAATATCTGTACCAAAATACCAAAATTCTCCGGTCTCACTCAAATGTAGAGATCACGACTTTAACATGCGACCATTGTCGTGCCGAGTTGTACTGCATTAGCCCTATAGTTCGGTTCCAGTAGCTTGGCTAAAAAGAACTCGGATGTGTATTTGTTTGCCAAACCCGAACTTACGATGAGATTCAATTGAAACTCTAGCTCTGTGTCAGTAAGACAAACATGTTGATTGGTATAGTCAGCTGGTCTCTTGCTGGTCTCTTACTGTTATCACTGGTGTCCTTATGTGTGGCCGCCATGCCACTCGGAAATATTTGCTTTCTCTCTAATTGTGGCTTGATCTTTACTTCTTAATAATCGGGATTTCTACGACACGTTTTTGGAATACATAGGCAATGCCAAGCAAATCAATAAAACTGTGAGTTTGATGGAGGCAAAAGTTTACGAAATCTGGACTATCATTGTTGGAATTCCAGGCTCACTAGAAGACCATTGGGTCTCGAAAACTGCCTTGAATTGCGTATTCCAACTCTCTTTTACTGAGCAAAAATCCCCACTCGAATATTGCCATGCTAAAACTAGATTCTAGGTCCATTTGTACAAGGGAGTCCCGCTCTCAGTCAGCTTGGAGAGCTCCCAGTACTAATATTGAATTGACCTTGCGAAATTCTCAAAATGGATTCCAAAGATTACTCGTTCAATATTTTAAGTCATTGATAACAGAAACTTAAATAATGGAACAAGATTCAAAGGGTCTTCATCCAATACACTGTCTAGATAGGCATATATAATCGGAACAATCACAAATTTGTGGAAATGATCTCGTTCTGGGCCATCGATGAACACTAATTACTGCCATATTAGCACATGACCTGGCGTTCACACAGAAAAGTTTTTGAATCAACGTTTAGGTTCGTGGTAATTCATCCTCATGACAATGCTTCGGCAAGATAAGTCGGGTATATTGATCGTGACCCTCGATGACTCGCCCGTAGGCACCTCATGCTCGCTATTGTGTCTGGACTGGCATGATCATCATGTTTGCCGAGAATCTTTATCATCCACCGCCGGAAATCAATCAATCTGACGAATGAAATCTCATGACTTTTCGATTAGAGTTGTAATACCTTATCAATCCGCAGGAAGCTTGCTGCCCAACAAGATACTTAGGAAAATTCTCAAGGCCTTATAACAGACCCTGAAAGCCTGCCAAGAAGCCTACATTCTGCGCCACCACTTTATCACGGCCACAAATCACCATCTATTTATGTGGAATTCCCTTTCGCAGAGCTTCTATTTGCTTTCCTAGCACAGCTGTCGTCAAATAGTTAATCCTCAAGATGTCAGCCCACCTTCACGAACTTCCACACCTGATCGAGTTACATTTCTATCGACTTGACGAAAAGAAAGATCACGATGAACGACTAGCACTTGTTGCCTATGACAGAGAGGCAGGCGTCAGGCTCAAAGATGGAACAGTCAATTGTCCAGCTATGTGGTTCGACCAAAATGGTAGAGCTCACAATAGAAGTGGTATTCTCTTCAGAACTGCAAAGTCGCACGGACTTATTGGTATGATCCATATGCCACCTCGTCAAGCTATTGATATGATTTATCGACATGCGGCTTTGGTTGGTGCCTTTCTTTGTCTAAATGAATCTCTCCGAAGCAGGACTAACAACTGTGTAGTGGAGCGTATACACGATTCTCGGCTTTGAACTCAGCAAAGTCGAATCAATTGTAAGTTTTTGTCGCTCGCTTTCCACTAGAACAAAAGTCTCACAGTACGCCCTTAGGAAATCCCCGATGATTGCAAGACAAGTACTAAAGACTCCGCTTTCGTAAAATTCGTAAATTGGCTCCGTCTCTGGCTTCCTAAAGAATTTTATATCGATTCTCCTGACGATTGGGCTTATGCACGTCTAAATCAGGTTTCTCGCGATCGCAAACGTCGCATCGTCCGAACTCGAGATGATGATGAACGCGGAAAGGCTGATGCTGAGAAATTTACAAAAGCGATTTATACAGGGTTTCATAAAGTGGTTGAGGATAAGCCTGAAGATCTCTTTAGTGTGAAGGATCCCGGGGTAATGGGGCAAGGAGCTTGGGATGGAACGGAAGCGGAGGAAGATAGATTGATTAGGAGAGTGGAGAGAATGGTTAATAAGAGGTTGGGGGTGGAGGAGGAGGAGGATTATAATGATTTGAAAAGTAGGCGGGGGGATTATGGAAAACAGTGAAAGTGATTAGTTAGAGTAGAGATTACATGTTGTTTGGGTTGTTGATAGATTTATAGGCGTTCATTCTGTAACTGTTAATGACTAAGTAATACTTTCACCGACAGACTTTGCTTCACCTTATAGCTGCCATGAACAAAAAAGATAAGATGGTTTACATTTATATTGGAATAGAATTTCGGAAGCTTATTGCACTCTATCATTTCCAGAAATATATCCGTCAACTACCAAGCCTTCTGGGCAATCCAGACAAGCTTAGGGCAAGATATAGCACAACCATCACGAACTTGATCCATGGCTTCCCGGTTGAGTTGCAGTGATTCTTCAGGTTTCCGTACAATCATCTTTGCGAACTCATCCCAAGTGCTCATATAACTATAAAGTGTTAGCAAGCTGTAGACTCTCAAAAGCGCTATGGTATATTCTCTTACACGT